GCAGCCGGACGCTGCTGATGATGATGATGCGTGGCCTGTGGCTCTCGGCGATCGGGCTCTGGAGTGGGCTGCCAACCGGAAGGAGGCGAAAGGCGATGTTCCTCGTCGATAAGAGCCTGATCGTGATCCATCTCCTCCATCTCGTGGGTGTCCTCGGTCTCCTGCTGAGGATGAGACGAGCCTGCCCGAGCTGTGGAAGCNNTGTACGTGGAGTAGGCCTGACGCTTCCTATAGACCACGAATGTACGTTGGTCGGAGATCAAGCCCGAATGGCTCAGCTCAAATGCGTCAATGCACCGCATCGGAACAGCTGGACTGCCTAACGCCATCGGATCGATGGCGAAGTGCAGAGCCAAAGCTGTGACCACGTGGCCAAAACAAGCGGCCGCCCACTTGTTCCGAATGACGTCCCGGAGCTCTTCCTTAAACACATGCATCAAATTCCGCTCCTGACGCCTGAACATGGCCCAGAGTACGGTGATGTCATTCTGAGAGACCTTGTTGGCCTCCTTCTTCCCAAAAAGCCCGTAGCACAAAAACTTGTGCATCCAGCAATGGCACCATCTTGGATGAGGGAGTTAGGCATGCCCTGGGAGTCCCATACCGTGTCAGGAGACAGCTCGACCCAGAAACTAGTAGTACTCATCACGGCTGATGCCGACCAGCCACCTGTGGATTCCCACTACTTGCCATGGTGTCATCACCTATTACCCTCTTTGTCCCAAGCAAACGACATGTCATACACTCACCCCCATTATTATCCTTCCAGAACCCAAATGTACTGAAAAACTTGAGCGTGATGTTCCGGTAGGTCGGATGGAAAACATCTGCATACCTCCTCAACCGTAGCGTGGCCAAGTACCGCTCGACCGTCGCCAAAATGCCTAAGTCGGAAAGCAATGTGAAGTCGAGCATCTTCGACTTTAGGACCTCCTACTTGGCAAGCCGGGAGTAGATTTCCCCCTCAAGTTCGTCGAGGATGGGGAAGGGGGCATTATACTGTGCCCGAAGATCGACCGGCTCGGCCCGGGAAGAAGATTCTTCTTGAGTAGACTTCCATTTGTTGCATTTGGTAACCATGTTGAATAGGAAGCACACTTAGGCAATATATCAAACGGCAAGAAATTGAACCTGAAATCATGAAGGAAAGGGACAATGGTTGAACCCAAACTATCTCCTACTCAACTGAAGGCTGTAAAATCCGACCCAACAATTTGAGTATTTTGCACAAGAGAATGAGAATTTGATTACAGGGCATCGAAACTTGAACCTTGGTAAGTATGGAAAGAGAGGCCAAAGTCAGTGAGAAAGCGAGAGACTGCCGGAGTAGATGGCGGTTGTATGTCGGAGATGACGA